GCTGCTTTCTGAAGTGCTGAACAATGTGGTCGGCTCAACAGTAATACCCATTCTCAGAACAATTTTGCTCTCCAAAATGATGTTCTTTCAGCTTCCCTACAAGAGCACGAATTAACCACAGGCATTTTTTGCCGTACCTTTTTTCTCCCCTGGGCAGGTGGTGTACATCTTTTTTTCAAGAGTCTAGTGCTACAAAGCGAATTATAATATTTAGTAGTCTTTGTAAACAAAATCTCTTGTGTGCAATAGAATTGATTTTCTCTTATTGCAATCCGAGAGTGCTCCCATCACCCCATCTGCCAAGCAGGTGTTACAGCCACAAAGAAAGATGTGAAAGCATCAGTCAGAGCACTGTTTAGTGCTCAGGCAGTTCTCAAATCCTGTTCGCCAAAAAAAACCCCAATCATTTCCCACTAACAGAGCTCCAGTAGAAGGAAAAAGTTTCACTGGTAAGTGTTGGGGATCAACACCCTCCATTTCATAACCTCTTCAGTCAACCTTAAATAACAACATTATAGAATTATTTTGTGTGGTCCTTTGGAAGCTCTGTGTTATCCTACCGTCTTCACCAGAGGAGCTGTGCGAATAAAATAGAACTGAATAATGAGAATCTGCAGTGCATAGCACTGTAAGCATCTTAACAAAAATATCCCATGTACTGTTGTTTGCAAACGTGATCCTGATAACTCCCAGGAAAACTCTTCTTTAAATTTGCTTTACAGGCTACAGAATCCAGAGCTTGTGGCAACTGGTGGTCAGTGTAAGTGGGAGACAAGATATTACTTTGCAACGTATATCTATGTGAAAAGCATTTTTCTATGAGATGACACTGAACAGAGCTGTGTAGAGGAGGATCTTAGTCTCACTTGTTTTTCCTGTATAATCAGAGGAGAAACAACAGGCACAGCCAGAGGGTGACTCCAGATCACCTAATTATAGGCCTGGTCCAAAGAAGCCTTTAGAGGTGCTGTCTGTAGAAGGTCACTCTGTGCTTCAGGTTAATTTTTGTGAATGCCTCCTGTGACCTTTCTAGTGGGATTTATTTCCTGGTTTTGCTGCTTTTTCCATTTGAAAGCAAAGCTTTCTCAGAGACCCAGGACAAACCACAAACAATCCTGGTTTGCTGTGTGCTCTAAGGATCAAAAAGAAGTTTTTAACAACCAACTCTACAGCCCAGAGGATAAAACAGATTTCAAAAATTTATCTAAGAATGCATATTACTTAATGTCATTACAGACTGTACTACATAAATGTATTTTGTACTTGCTGCTGAATTCCTGAAAAAAAATGCCATGTCTGTGTATCTACATGCAAGATTATACTATCATACCTGGGGAATGGTCTTAAAAAACACTGTTCTTGCACAGTGATGTAGAGATACCAAATTTGGTCGCTCTACCTGTACCATGACCACATAATTTCAAGATTGAAAGGGGTTGATCTAAATCACTGAAGTTGAGAGTATTTAAATCTAAATTCTCTTAAATACTGACAAAGTGACACATAAGAAAGCACTGAGATTACTCACTTGGTGTATGGGCTTTGCCAAAATCAAGGTCTCAATGGCAGGAAGAAGAAAATATTACTCCTTTGACAACTTTGATTACACAACAAAATAATGAAACATAGCATATGTTGGCTGGTAAATTTTAGAAACAACAGCTTTCAGCACTCCATGCTTTAATGTTGTACTCAAATATATCTCGGCTGTGGATGTTCAGAAAGCTGCTTCTTCCTTTAATACTACTCTCCTGTCATAACATTTCCAAGAGGAGAACGTAGGTATCACACTCTTTTAATGAGTAAAAGTGTTAGAAGTTACAGCACCTACAATCACAAATATAAATAATGTGCCATTTCATAAAGTTAGGTTGTTATTTTTCGCCGAATATACAAATTAAGTATTTTTAACCACATCTGAAAAATTGCTCTAAAGATAATTAGATGAAATTAAAACTTTTTAATTAAAAAAAGCTGGAGACTGCAGAGAAGTTTCTTCTATATTTTATACCTATTATCTAATGATTTCCAGATAGACCACCTATACTCTTCATCTCACTCTGAACCAAAAAGTCTTTTCTCAATTTTGTTGGTAATAAACTAGCTATTAATTTAGGTTTTATACAACAGAGCTTGTAAACAAGTTCAGACGTTTGCTTAAATATTTTATTTCATTAGGGCCATTAAGAAACATTTATTACTATATTGTGTTAAGTAATGTAAGTAATTTCAGTGTGCCAGTGATGGTTCTCAGGACACAAAGTCTTTAAAAGATTGTCTATAGCTCAAAAAAAAACCAACCTCATACTTTTCAGGTCATAGAAAAAAAAAATCTTTAACATTCAAATAACATTATACTGGAATGGGATATGTAAGAAAAAGTATGCCTTCTGTTACATAAACAGCTTAATTTAAAAATTAATTTATTACATTTGTCAAAGACACATGACATGCAGACCAGATTTTTGGCTAGACCACTACTACTTTATTTCCCCTACAAAGCTATGAGCAAACCTTTTTATATCAGCACTATAAAATTCTTAAAAGCTGAATATGCATTTCACGCAGTAGCGTCGAGTGAGTCCAGCAGATCTAACACGTGAGAACGTCAGGTCAGCTCATTCACAGCTCTTGCACACAGGTTTTTTTTCTGTACTTAGCTTCTGCATGTAGAGGAGACGGAGCTTTGACAACTGAGGCTAAACTTTCAGAAGTTACACAAATACGCTTTCAGAAATGTATTTTCACTTAAATGATAAACTGTGTTCTCAACTGAGTTGCCTTTCACTGTCAGTAAAATGACTTTTTCAAGGACAATACTTGTTATAATGCATTTAAAGAAAAAATGGGCTAGGAGGATTTCTTAGACATGCAGCTTACAAGTGTGGTTTAACTTTGCATAGTAGTAATATATATTTACAAGTGCCAGATTTTCAATTTATAAATATTTATCATAGGACATGATTTTATCTTTAATTAGCCCAACTGTTAAGGACACTTCTAATGTGAGAAATGTAATCCAGTATTTTGTACCAGATGCAGCCTCTACAGCTAGTCTTTTATCTCTGCTTGTAATGAGTAGATACTTAAACAAGAATAACTACAGAAGATCTGGGCTCTGATTTTAAAATATTTTCGGAATTTGCACACCTCACTTTATAGCACCTGTGCAATATCACTATACTGCAAGTATCTGATTATTTCCTATGCATACCCATATGAATTTCTTTGTTTATGCAAAGACTTGAATTAGTAGATCGTCCTTCCCTTCCTGTCTCTCTCTGACCAGGTGGGTTATGGCTCTGTGTCTGACACTTCTAGAAAGAGTATAAACATGAAAACTGGGATAGTTCCAGGTCTAAGCCTGGGTTATCAACAACTGAAATATGATGCTCATCTAATAACATCACATTGCCAAACACAGCAACCCATGGAACATGAACGTTGTACTGAAATTTTTCATAATTACACAACAAACCTTCACAGTGGTAGGAAACACTGAGTAAGAGAGCAGAAGAAAGGAAGGACTGGTGATAGGTTGGGGGAAGAAGAATAGCAACAGCCTTGTGGACACATTGAAAAGGCAGACTTACTTGCTTTTTCCAGAACTGCAAGTCATAATTACAAAAGCAAAGAAAAATTATAATGTACCAATGACAAATGTTACAAGGATAACATTTTGCATAATTTTTTTTACCTCTTGATTAATTATATTTCCAGTGCTGTGTTAACCAAATCTTAGTAAACCATCTGGATGTCAGAAAGCTCTAGAACAGAACTGCTTTGGTTTCCATCTTAATGCTTATTTACTGGGATCCACCTGTATGGCAATGTCCTCCTGCTAACAAGCTCTGCAATGAACTGGGATGTGTTTTTAGCCAACAGTACGTAAGCAGTCATGTAGCTGCCCAACTTTCCAAAAGCAATACTTTCCACTATATTAGCACTAGCGCAAAAATTAAAAAAGATATTATGAGGTAGTCTCAGCATGTGTCTTATGGGAAAACAAAAACCACTTGTAAATCTTGAATCTGCAAGTATGTCAGTCCCCTGGAGAGCCCTCAGATAGCTGTGAATTTTGGCCCCACTGATTGGAAACAGTAGGAGATTCAGATCTTGGAAATTAGGCTGGGTTTGGATGAGTCCAGGCTTAACAATTTTATGGTAAAATTAGGAACAGTATCATAAACAATTTGCATTGTTCAGTAATCCAAATAACATGCTCTCTTATAGATACAGAGAAAATGACATGCCAATGCAGCGAAGGCAGGCTGGCAGGAAATTTTGAGGGACTAGCACACCCCAGGAACATGAAAGCAATTAACAGGAAACAATGGGAACAGCATGGAGGGGTAGCTGCGTACTGTGTCTGTCTCTGTGGCACTCGAGTGTCATCAAACAAAGATAAGGGATTTGGTACAATATACTTTAGTGCATTTTCCACCTGCCCTTCATCCCAGAAGTGGCCCCCATTAGTAACGGATGTGCAAAGGATTGATCTTAGCAGAGCAAGACTCTTTTTAACACTGAATAAATCTAGAGTGCATTACACTCTTGGTTTAAAATTGGCTCAGTGTGGGAGAAAACAACCTCCAAGGTAATTTTGAATTCTGTTTCCAGTTTTATGTAAAACATAAATTCTGTATTTTTCTCCTGTGGCAATACCTGATCTTCCACACCTCAGGCAGGAAAAGCTCAGGTTGTCTTACATCTATTAGTACTTGCAAAATGGAATCCTTGCTATTATTTTTTTTAAAAAAATTGTTTTTCACTTCTAGTTTTTTACTTTTTACACAGAGGTTTAAATTTTGTTTGGTACTATTCACATGTGATTAGATTCAGTTGATAATTTTGATCTACGGGCAACAATGAGGCTTAAAAGCAGTGTCTAAAATTCCTTGAAAACAGTACTATTTAAGTTAAATGTATTTTGTCTGGCAGCATAGCCATGAACAATTTGAAACAAAAATTTAAAAAAAAAATGAAATTTGAGAAAATACCTGCTTTATGAAACTTTTCCATTATCTCTTGACGAACTGATTTTTCCAAGTTGAAATAATCGTGGTCTTCATCAGGGTTTCTCAGAAACAGAGGGATGTGCTGAAACACTATTATATGCTTGCATTTATGTTTTTCAGCGACAGCCAGTTGCTCATCAAGCCAAACATCCTGGGCTTGCTTTAACTCAGAGCATTTGGAAGAATCAAAGTATAACTGAGAATTCAGCACAAGGAAGAAAACGCCTCCAACCCAAAAGCTGAAGTAGTCATCTCCCCAGTTCTTGCAATAATTATCTATTGTTTCTCTTGTTGGTGTATTGCCAATATCGTGATTTCCACTGACGAATACCAATGGGATGTCCTGGTCAGTGTTTTTCAGAACATTCTTTAAATCTTGCTCTTGGTCCTTTCTCCACTGAGTTCCTAGAGAAAAAAACAAACACATTTTAGTGTTTATGCTGCCTCTTCCTACCCCCATTGATAGCTTTTGTTTATGGAACAATGCATAGTAAGAAAATATTCTGTATTAGATGTGATCAAGATAATATGCAGGGATCCAGGCTACCTCTTCACTTTAACACTGTATGTCCACTCAACCCTTCCCCTCCCTTATCAAGTACTCGGCCACCTTCAATAACTTGCCTAAGGCAAGGCTCTGGACAGGCACCAACAGAGAGCATAGCAGTAGGTGATATAACGGTCAGTGTTGTGCACCAAAGGCTTTAACAGGCTGCTTCTTTTCATCTGCAGACTGATGATGTGACGAAAAAATGCATCAACCTTAGATGGTGTAACAGCTTTACACAAGGGTAAAAATCAGGTCAACTTCTGGTTTATATTTTATGGCTCTGCAAAGGAATTAAGGTTTTTTTTTTTCACTACAAGAACTACTTTAACAGCAAAAATATAATTAGCGTCTTGTGGCAACTTTCAAAGAAAGGTAATTATGCACTTTGCTAGTTTTTCCCTCATTTCTGTTTTTATATTAATATGCATACCCAGACAGTTACTCTTCTGGTTGGCAGAAATTCATCCTTGTCTAGGAAGGTTTATCTAATTGCTAGATTAATTTACAGAGACTGAAAAAATTTTGTGATTTTTTTTAAAGCAGTTATTTTAGTCTAATGATAACAGGTTTTTTTAAAGTTTTCTAAAGAGTCATCTTTAATCAGAGGCCACTGATATGTTTATTATTGATTAATTAAATTGAACATCTATAAATTGTATTTTGTCCTGCAATACCATAATGTATATCTAACATGGGCCCATTTCACAAATAATTGCATTTTTTAACTAAAAGTTGCAACAGGATTTTTACAAGAACTGTGAAATCAGATTTATAACACACATTTGCATATGCAGATCAATCCTCGTATTTTTAAACTGTGCTCTATTTTTGTAACTACAGATATATTTTATACATGTATTAGAGGGGGTCTTGTAATGTAACTATAAAATTAAAGATTTTTTTCTCCATGTTTCTTCAAAATACTTCTGATCAATACATTGACAAGCACTGACTTTAGTAGCTACTATTAATGAAGATTTCAATTCCTTCTCTGTACCCTATAGTTACAGGCTTAAGTACCACCTTATTGCTGTTACTAGAATTCTACAGCTTTAGAAAAACTGGGGAAAAAAATTCCTATTCCTATTATGTCTAAATTGTGTCTAAATGTTAAGACAGATGTGAGACTTGATATGTGGTACATAAAGTCAAACCCCACAACTCTGTACTGTTTAACTGCTGTACAGGGTAGAAAGTTATTGTAGCAAAGCCTTTGAGTAACTTGAGAAATAGTGGGCATATTCTAGAAAGCAGCGGAGAGCAGCTCAGTTTGTGGGGTATACTAATGTACCAGGAGCATGGTCAGTTTAGGCGTCATTCCAGTTATGGAAAATAACCTTTTTAATCCTAGAAAAAATAGGGTAAGTGCCATCTCATGTTACTTGGAGGAGCTGGATTTTAAAATATAAAACCAAAAATTTAAATAAACCTGGCACATTTTTTTGTCCATGGGGTAGGGAACCTTGCTGAGAAATCTGCTTTTCCTGCCACTCCCCACCTTCCTATGCAAAGAGTTGGACATTTCAAGCTATAAAAATGAAAATGTATGGGGGAGGGGGGCAGGGAAGAGGCGAGGGGGAAGGCTCTTTTAAGAAACATGTAAACACATTATACCATGTTCATCTCCATGCTATCACTTTGGGAAATTTAGCTAACAGTTTCCGAGTATAAAGACATTTATGCATAAGTTACAGGAATAATTTGTAGAATTATGTATACCTCTTCCCAGTGGTGAAATTCAAGCTCTAGAGACTAACACTTAGATGAGATTTGTTGACAGCAGGGCACTGGTTCCTTCATTTAATGCAATATTATTTCTATAGCAACAGAGAGACATATTCAGTGTTTTCTTGCAGAAAACATTGCTCAAAATGGAAAACAAGGTCTCTGCCCAAAGAGTCTAGGAAATCATACTAAGTACAGATTATTTTAAGACAATTGTATCTTGGCTTGACCTTTTCTTGGTGGAAGGTCAAAACAACTTCAAAAGAAGATACACCAATGGAAATTCATATTTTCCCTCGAAATTCATAACTGAGGTAAGTAATAGGCAAAGAAGATGAAGAAGAGGAGATAAAGAAGTGATAAACAAAAGAGGGAAGCCATGAGAAAACTACAGTGGTCACTGCCATAGCAGGAAAAATATCCTAACCTTTAATCTCTGCCAGGCACAGAGCTAGCTATAATATTTAACTATTCCAATTATTATGAAGAACACTTTTATTTAATGACATGTATTTCTTTAGCTTTGACAGAGGTTTGTTGTAGGTGAATAGCAATAAGATAATGCCAAGAGGCAATGTGAAAGAATAATTTGGGAAGTGTAAGGGTAGATATAACTGAAATTAATTTTGTTCTATTTATCCTAGCATCTTGTGCAGTGACATTTTTAAATCCCAGGCTACAATACTCTGTCTTTATGTTAGGTTCTGTAAATACAGTCTTGCCCTGAGATAAATGACTTCACAAATTAATAGCCCTTCAAGGGCAGTTTGGCTTTTATGAAAAACATGAAAGTGAGAACTGTTGCTAGTGTACAATCTTCTGCAGCTTCCCTGTCTCTCATTTTTGAAAGCTGGGCGATGTGAACAGGAGCATAAAGGTGCAATGTCAGTGTCTCTGTTGCAGATGTTATATTACTATTTGTCTAAACACTTCCAGTATTCTTTCCTGCATTTCTAAAGAAGTCAAGACAACCTGCCTTCACTCACTGAAAGAGCAGATTTGACAAAAGTACTTTTAAAGCATTTTTGCTGAAGCTGGCTTCAGTCAGCAGAAGTAGAATTCACAGATTATTCTGACAAAGAAATAATCCTTTAGCTACTAATCCACAGTTACAGTTTACTTCGGTGTTCCACAGAATAGAGCACCTCTATAACAAACTGTTGGGTTTTTTTTAATGAACTAGCTATAAAAACAACTTGAAGCACTGTTTACTCCCAAATCGTATCCCTGCAATGCACGCTGATGGCAATCTTTGCATCTGAGGCAACTCTTCCCTTACAATAACCTCCACCAACATTGTAACTGTTTCCCCCAAAGCATTTCAAATGAAAAAGTAGCAATCAATTATCAATAGCACCCGTTTGTTTGTTTTTTTTTCCTGATATGATTTTTTTTTATAACAGTATTATTAGCTGGTACCCCCAGGCGTTTCTGCGTTGGTGTGAGGAGAACACCAAGTACTCCCCCCAAGGCAGGAGAAGCCTGCCAGCCCCTGCGAGGAGCCACGGCTGTGGTGGGGATGGTGGCGGCATTGGTCTGGATCCCCAATTCACATCATTTTCCAAGAGATGGAAGTTTTAGTGAGGTAATCTGACTTCTTTCAACAATCAAAGCTATTGGTCATAAATTCCCAGAGAAAAGGACCATCAGAGGGCAATTACTCAATACTATGTGATGACACTGCATTTCAGGGAACTTTCCAAAGGCGTTCTGAGAAATCACTTCCAGGGATCTGGCTGGCACAGGCTGACTCAGCCACAGGGCAGAACGGCCGCAGCTCGACCCGTGATACTGATGTTGCTGCTATTTCTAAACCTCTTTTTGGGATGGGTTTTCTGAGGAGCCAGAACAGTGTCTCTTGTCTACCTGCTCTGCAAATCTTGACACAGACAGTACTGAGTCATGGTTTGCTACAGGAAAGGCCATAGACAGAAAATAATGTGGACCTAATGTCTGACTTTAAAAGTTTGGCAAGGGGGCCCTAACTGAGCCAGAGTATGTATTTACATCCCCACTGATGTGTACACACTAAGTTACGGTGGTCTCTGTCCCTGTCTCTGCAATATCTTTGCTTGGCTTAGGCTGAGCATCAGCACAGGCACTTCTAGAATGAAGCTACCCAAGATGTCTTCAGCCAATTTAACAACACGGAAAATGGAGCACAATCATTGCTTGGATTTCCAAATTACTCAGGCTTGGTATTTCAATGTATCTTAAAAGTGTCTGAAACTTAGAGGACATGCAAACACATCATTTTAAAAAGAAAGCACAGATAATTTTCAGTTTGAAAAAGGACAATGTTAAAAAGAAAATTGTTTAACTATGAGCTTTTATGCAAGCAACACTCTTGAAAAGCCCTGATATGACTGACAACTGCAATCTGCCTAACATTTAACCCAAGAGACTGATTATCAAAGAGCAGGTAAGAGCTAAATTGTAGATTAAAATACTATACAAAATATCAAATAGAAACAGTAACTAAATCTGGTAAAAGCAAAATAAAAAATGTCAAAACACCACCATTGGGAATTGAATGTATAAAAACATTGGGTCCATTCCTTCCGTAATTTGTTATGATATCAGGAGAATTACTCTGACACCAAAAGACAACTAATTCTTGTTGGAAACAATCACATGATTGTTATAAACAAGCAAAAGACAGATTTGTTTATTTTCCTGGGCCTTACAGTGCATCACAATGGCTTTAACCAGAGTCTAATTATTTTGGGCACTTCCCTGGGGCCTTACAGTGCATCACAATGGCTTTAATCAGAGTCTAATTATTTTGGGCACTTTCCTATTCTTGAGATGTTTGTCCTTCTTTTTGGTTTTCATGGCTGTCTGCAGTTGCTCTACTCCTGCATGCCATTTAGAGGACTTTCCCTAGTAGTATTCCCTAACTTTCTAGAGAAGAGAAGAGGGCAGTCCAAGGCTACATTCACAGCATGCTCCTTTTATAAGTTCCTCCGCTGAAACAAATTTAAGTGCTACCTCTCTCCCTCTGTGGGAAAGCAGTCTCCTCGTGTTCAAAACAGAATTGCCTTTCATCTCTGCTGTGGTTTTGGATACCTGGTTGTTGGCTCCAGCTTAACAGGGCTACAACTAAGCTCCTCCATCATCCCTCTCAGCA